TGCATTAAGATTGTGCCTGAAGGCTTTCTTAATTTAGCAAAGAATTTAGAACACAATGCAAATAACTTTGCACTGTGTTCTAAATTCTTTGCTAAATTAAAATAATGTAAATAAATTTTGTTTTATATTTTTCAGTAGTAAAAATATAAAACGTTCATTTATTCAGTTGTAACAGTAGCATAAAAACTGGTAATATATATTTAATGATAACAGATTTATAATATTAGGCTCGAAGAAGTTATTAGTGTAAATGGTTATAGGTGACATGAAATTGTTGTCATATGAAAGAAATAGATCTAGGCATGATAAAATTAATTGTCGTTGAAATATAAGAAATTTTGCTTGATGAACCAAAAACTTACTTGGCAGAATTCAGTGTCAAGCGCTGTTAATGTCTATTATTTGACTTTACATTAGACACTTTAAAATAAAGCAAAGTACGAATTTTACTATTTATAGTAACAAATAATAAAAATTTCAGTTTTAAATGATTTTTTTTTTTTTTTTTTTTTTACTTTTGTAATCTTAATATAATTGTTCATTTTTTTTTTAGTTGTTTTTGTCATCACTTGATTATTTTGCTTACTGTTGAAACATGGTTTTAATTTTGTAAATTTAATATGATGTGAAATTTACAATATTAATCATTTGTCAACAGTTAAAGAGAAGCTGGAAATTAATTAAGAAATGCTGGAAATTAACTTTTAGTTAAGGTAAAAATAATTTTGTTTATTGGTAGCATAATAAAACCAGTTACTGTTATTTATTGCATGACTTTTTTACTTTTTCTAACATGGTGTTTTTAAAACACTTCCTCTCTCTCTTAGATGAGACTTAAATAAGAATTAGTATTGAGAATTGTAGAGAGAGAATTGATTGGGGGGTCGTATGGGTTGAATGGGCGGTCGTAACTAAAAACCTTTAAAAATATGGAGAATATTGTAGTTTTGCGCATTAATATCGAGTTACTTAAGTTTTATTTATGTGTTTAACTAATTCGTTAGCTTAGTCTGTATTTGCAACACTTTTGAGGAAAGAAAGAAAACATTTTTATATAAGTAGATCATTGTTTTACATTTTAATATTTTATTTTATTCACCAGGCCACCATTAAAGCAAAAAGAGGGAAGAAACCTCTTTATTAGAGCCAAAATATTTAGAAAAATTAAATTTCGAGTTACAAAAGGAATTTTTAGTAAATGGTGGCAAATTACCGTTTACTAAAAATTTAATGAAATAAAGAGGCCAAATAAATAATATACAAATGGTCTGTGTTGAACAGACTTAACAAGACCCGGGTCGGGTCAGCTTGGTTTACAAATTTTTATGTCTACTTATCTCTTATAATTTTTATTTTAGTTAGTTCTATGATGCATTAATGTATTAAAAAATTTGTTATACCTATGTTTGATCGTAAATTAAATTTTTTTTTGTTTGAAAGGTATTTGTACTCAGTTGCGTAGTATAATAAACTTTGTTATTTTTTATTAATTTATTTAAACGTGTGCATTTAACATTTTTAAGTTAACAATTTTCTTTTCTAAAGAACAATTAATCAAGGGGATAACAAAAAATTGATAACTCCTGTATAATATAAGTTAACTTCATTTTAATCTTAATGGTTCGTGTTATAAAAATTATTTTAAGGATTTAGTTGACACTTTCGTCAATTTAAAGTATAACCAAGTGTTATTATTTTGCGTCAGTAACTAAAAACGTATTGTGTTAAACTTAGGAAGGTCGATGAAAATGGTTCTGCCTTACACTGTTATGGCCTGTGCCATTTGTAAATTACTTAATAATGTTAAGTAGTAGTTGGTAAATTGTTTTACCTCCTCATAATTTTTATGATAATTTTACAGATGGATTAATTTTTTCAAGCTGAAGGCAATTTTCTAAAAGGGTATTAGTTAAGGTTTTGCAAGATTAAATTGTGGAAAACAGCTACTATAAATTAATTATGTAACAGACCGACCAAAACCCGTATTACGGGTTGCCTTTTGCTAGTTATTATTAATATCAAGTAATTGGTATTTACTTTTTATTATTATACTTTCAATTATAACATATTATTTTTATATTATTATTGTTGTTATCGTTATTATAAATAATAATAATTATTATTGACATTATTGTTAATTTTATTATTAAATTGTCATTATTGTTAATATTATTGCTGTTGTTATCATGAATTTTATTTTTGTGGTTAATTTCGTTATATAATTTTTACAATAACTATTATTATTTTTCTTATATTCAGGGCCGGATTTAGGGGAGGGCTGAGTGGGCTGCAGCCCAGGGGCCCCCACAAATTCGGGGCCCCACAATTTTATGATATTTAAATTAGAATACTGAAAAAATATTTTATATATACTTGCTATGTCATTTTACATTAAGTTATACCACAAAAAGTCATAAAATACGTATCCTATCTTCTTTATAAAGTGGATAAGTGTATTTTACAACGACTTCTTGTTTATTAGTTTAATTTCGTGCATTTTTGACGTAAGGCTTTTGGCGTTTCTTATTTTATGCATCAGTCAAACTTATTTTGTATGCAGTTAACCAGTGAATAGTGTTAAAATTTAAAAATGAAAGAAGATTGTCATAAATTAAAGCGAGTTTATATGAGTGGTGCAGATAAACGAAAATTGGCAAAAGAAAAAGATAAAAAAAATACGGAAACAATTTCAAAAACTAGTCGAATGACAGAGTTTTTCATAACACAGCCCAACACAACTTCTTCTTCTTCTAAGTAGATACGTAAACTGATTTTTTTAAATTATTCAAATACTAAAATGTTATATATCATTAGAAAGCCCTCAAATACAGCATTTCAAAGGTGAAAAAATTATGAAAATCGGACCGTTCTATCAAAAGTTATGACGTTTTAAGTAGCAAATTGAAAAAACTGTTGTCAAAATAATTTTTTTTTTACATAAATTGTTATAACTTTGCTAATTCTTATTCAAATATTTTTAACTTGGTATCAAAAGATAGGTGTAAAAAAGGGCTGAAATTTTTAATTAGATTTTAGGTCAAGGGCGCATCCAGGGATCCGGAGGGGGTGCTAATCCACCACCTATACCTCACAAAAATACACTTTTTTTCATAAAAAAGCGTTTATCTTTTAAAATTACAAATATTTATATACAAAAAATTGTTATTATTTTATTCCACATCACTAGCGAATATTAAAGTCTATCTCAAAGTCGGGTGTTGGGTTTTGAAGGTTTAACACACCCTATCAAAATTTCATTCTTTAGAACATTTCAATCTTTACTAAAACAATTAGTTTTAGTATAAAAAATAAAAAAATATATTTTGATACTTGGAAAAATAGTAACTAGTGGTGTATAAATTGCCTTCATAGAAGGGGGTGTAAGCTGCCTCCCTTCCGCCCAATTCTTAAAAAAAGTTTTAATGAGAATTTAACAAAATATGTTTAAAAATGCTTTTTAAGCACATATAAAATAGTATAAAAAAACTATTTTACCACGTTACAGTGATGTATAAATTGCCTTCATGAAAGAGGGTGTAAGCCGCCCCCTTTCCGCCCAATTCCTTTAAAAAAATTTAATTAGAATTTAACAAAAAAAGTTTTAAAATGCTTTTTTAAACACATATAAGTAGTTTAAAAAACTGTTTTACCATGTTACAAGACTTCAAATAGATACAGCAAGTTTTGTGGCTTGCAAACAAGTACAACAAGTTTTGTGGCTTTCCATCAGGTAAAGCAAGTTTGTTGTTGAACTCCAAACTAAAAAAAACACAAAGCAGCAAGTCTTTTGAAATAAAAAAAGTAATTAACTATTGTCTTGGCTTTTAGTAAATGATTTATGTTTTGAATTCCATTTATGAACTAAATAAATCATTTTTAATGATAGACACCATGTAAAGGTAAGCCAGAGCCATCTATCAAAAAAATTTGAAAGCCACAAAACATGCTGTATCTGTTTGCAAGAAACAAAACTTGCGGTACTTGTTTGCAAGCCACAAATCTTGCTGTACTTATTTGCAAGCTACAAAACTTGCTGTACCCATTTTCAAGCCATGAAACTTGCTGTACCTATTTACAAGCCACAAAACTTGCTGCACCTAATTGCAAGCCACAAAACTTGTTTTACCTAATGGCAAGCCACAAAACTTGTTGTTCTTGTTTGCAAACCACAAAACTTGCTGTATCTATTTGCAACCCACAAACCTTGAAGTACTTGTTTGCAAGCCACAAAACTTGCAAAACTTTTTTTTCAAGCATTTTTACATTATTTCATATTCAAAGAAAGAAAATATTAACTCATTTAATACAACATCAGCAGCTAGCTCGATTTTACTCATCGTATGCTCAACAGCTTCAGTATCAGTTTTATTTTGTTTCCAGTAAGAAATAGTGTAAATTCTATCATTTTGTCTTTTGCTTACTTTTTCTAGTTTACCATCATAAATGATAGACTTTGATGAGTCAATATCATACCATTCATGACAGTTTTCTGACAACAATTCTTTCAGACATCACATCGTCTAAATCTTAAAGTTGTTTTGCAGATAAGTGTTTGTATAAATTCATCTTTTCACTGATAGTTAAGATTTGAAAGCATTATGAAATATTTTATATAAGCCCTTACAAAAAAAAAATTAAAAACTTTTGTTTAGAATATGCTTATTTAAAATAAAATACTTTTATAAAATATAAATAAGCTTTAAAGTTTTTCAAAAACGAAGAACAATCATAAAGAAATATTTCAATTTATACATTAACCTGGAGAAAATTGTGCTGCAGGAACTAAAAGGTAAAAAATGATGTAAACAACAAAAATAAAATGAAATTGGGATTAAATCTATATTATAATTTTAATGAGATAGACTATGCACTGCTAACAAACAAATAGTTTTTTAACATACCAACCATGTATGTAGATGCAGCTAAAAATCAAAAAAAAAATAAATGTAATTAACAAAATAAATGACTTTTTTTAGAAAAATCAAAACACTGCTGAAAAATATTTAGTTTTTAAACTTACTATTTGTGAAAAGGATGTAATCAATCAAAAAATATTTGATTTAGGCATTAAATTATTACAGAGATTAAAAAGTAATAGCTTTTAAACTTAGTAACTGTGGCAGATATAGATTAAAAAAAGGTGTAACCAAGAAAAAAAGTATTAGAAATTGGCCTTACATACACATATTACATACAAAGTGAACAAAGAAATAGCTTTTAAACTTTCCGAATGTGGTAGATGTTGATGAAACTAAACGTAAAAAAAAAACTGTAATCAATAAGAAAATTGAATTTGATATTAAATCTATAGTATAGCCATAAAAAAAGAAATGATATCGACATCCGCAGCAGGTGTCGATAAAGCTTAATTATAAAAAAGGTGTAATTAATAGAAAAAAAAAAGGACGTAGATGCAACTAACATCACGAAAAGATGCAATATAAAAATAAACAAAAAAAGTTGAAAATGGGATTAAATCAATACACTGCTGAAAAAGAATTGACTCTTAAACTTACCAACTGTTTCAGATGTAGATGGAACTAAAAACAAAATGGATGTTATCCACAAAAAAAAAAGATATTGGAATTAAATCTTTCACAAGTTAAAAAACAATAGCTTTTAAATTTACTAATCGCAGTTGTTTAAGAAATGACTTGAGATAAAAAATATATGAACTAAACCAAAGCATATATCTTTAAATTTCTACTTATATAAACATGAACGGAATTGCTATATACAAACTTACCGGTGGTAGGCCGAGTTGATTGGACTAAAATTAACAAGAAAACTGTATATCAAAATAAAAAAAACACCTTAAATTTGACAACAGTAAGCGAATAAGTAATAACAACCAAACAAGTTCTGCATAATGTGCAACAAGTTTATTGATAAAGTATATAATGAAAACATAATTACACAAGTAAACATTAAGAAAGATTGTATAATGTTTTAAACAATAAAAGAAAGATTATAAAAAAGATATCTTTTGTATTAAAAAACTTTTAAGGCATCAAAATGTTTATTTTATTATGAATAACATCAAAGATTATATTGTTCATGACATCCCTATATGTCACTATTATCTATCATATCTATACATCTACACATCACTATCATATCTATACATCTATACATCACTATCATACTGTATTATCATACTGTATATCACTATCGTATCTATACATCACTATCATATCTATACATCTATACATCACTATCATATCTATACACCTATACATCACTATCATATCATATCTATACACTATACACCACTATCATATCACTATACATCACTATCATATATCACTAAAGGAATCTCAAAAACTGATGAAGTAGTAAGCCTGCATCTAAACAAGAAGAAAACATTAGAAATGTTTGTGTAATGGTTTAAAAAATAATCAAAAGATTAAGTATTATACAATAGATAAACCATAAAAGATTAACATACCAAATGTTCTCAATGTAGATAAAGCTAAAGTTAAAAAAGGTGTAATATAAAAAAAAAAAATACACATTTTTGGCAACAAATCCAATGAAACAACTTTGTAATGAGCAAAGATAAGTACTGTGTAAATAACAAATAAAATAAATGCGTAAATAACGAAAATTAGGGATTACTTAAATAAAAGTATTGAATAGGTTTTATCTAGTCAATGATTTTTAAAAGTTTAACAAAAAAATACTTTTAAAAGTAATAAACAATAGTATTATTATGAAAAAACCTATAAACTTACTATCTGTTTGATCATCCAGTTCATTTATATCATTCATTTTTTTAATTACTAACAATCTAAGTGAAACAATATGCAATAAACATTTTTAAAGAAAAAAAAAACTCTCTCCCCCTCAGCCCCTACCTCGGCTATTTTTGAAAACAGAAATTAGGTACCAAAAGTGTTTAACTGAATTAACTAATTGCTAAATAATATTTTTTCATGAAATTTTGCAGGTGCAAAGGAAACGCATGTAAAAACTTATTTAAAAAATCAAAAAGCGAAATACAGATTCCTTCAACAATAATTTAACAAGTAAACATCAACATAATTTTCATGAGCAAAATAGTCAAAAAAAAGGTACGACAATCATATAAAAAAAATAACACAAAAAACAAGCCTAACTCTTCTTCATTCTGAAAATATACTATGTGTATATATGTTTCTGAAAAAAAAAAAACCAACAAAAAATTGTTTGCCTAACCCTACTCAAAAAAATGAGACGGGAAATCCGCTAAATAAAAGTCGGAAAAAAAGAAATTAGGTACCAAAAGTGCTAAACTGATTTAACTATCTGCTACATAATATTTTTCAATAAAATTTAGTGTGTGCAAAGAAAATGCATGTAAAAACTTATTTAAATAATCAAAAAAGCGGAATAAAGAGTCCTTCGACAAGAATTTGACAAGTAAACACCAACCTATTTTTCATGAGCCAAATGCTCTAAAAAATGGTAAGACAGCCGTACGTAAAAATAACATAAAAAACAAGCTTAACTCTTCTTCTTTCCAAAAATATACAATGTTTATATATGTTTCAGAAAAAAAATTCCTCAAAAATACGTTTGCCTTAGGCTACCTTAAAAAAACGTCGAAAAAACGAGTCACAGAATTTTAGCACAAAATTCGGCTCCGTAAATCGCTATTTCCGCGTACCTATTCTGAGGTTAGTTCAAAGTTTTACAATTACTATACAAAGAATAAATATTACTTTTAATAATATATATTTTTTATTTTTTATATTTAATAGCATATAATAATAAAATATATGCAGGTTAGGTAGTTTAAATAATAAATATTACAAATAATATTTTTTTCATGTATACATACTATACTATACTTATCTCTTCAAATTTACCTTTCCTAATTAAAATTGTTTAAAATCGAAAAAAAATTATACGTATATTAGCCACTTAGGTATATATTAATTAAAAAAAAAATAATAAAAATTGAAAATCAAACGCATTAATATTATAAATACAAATTTAAAAAAGTCTTATCAGCTTAATTTCCATTAGGTTCATATTTAAAATATTTTGTTGAGGCGGTAGAGCAATTTATCAAATTGCTCTACCACCTCAACTAGTAACTATCGCCGAAAACCCTTCACCTCAAAATAATGTCGAAGAAACAAATGAAAGCTTAAATTTAGATATAGGATTATAGCCTGAAAAAATGACAGGATTAATAAATTATTGGGCAAAAGTAGGAAGTTTAAATTTACAAAATTGTAATGAAGAATTATTTATACAAAAATGAAAAAAACAGTTTGATGTGAAGTTTACTAGTGAATATAATTAATCATTGTTTGAGCGAAAAAGTGCAATCGGAGAAATAATTAAGCGTTCATGGTTATGTTTTTCACCATTCAATGGTAGCATTTTTTGTTTTGTTTATAAATTAATGTCCAAAACACGCAGTCAATTTACTCATGATGGTTTCTGTGACTGGAAGCATGAAGATAATCGATTAATAAGTCATGAAACTTCCAAAGATCATTTAAAGTCTGTGATAAATTTAGCTGTTCGTTCAAAAGAATTAGGCCGTATCAACCCGACGGGCATTTGTTTTTAAAAGTTACGATCTAAATGTATTTTAAATGTCTTTTAAACGTCTTTTAAACATTAATGTTTAAAAGACGTTTAAAAGACGTTTAAAACACATTTAGAACGTAACTTTTAAAAACAAATGCCCGTCGGGAACAATGAACTTATAAAACAAAGTGAAGATGTAAAAAGTTACTGGCGTAATATAATCAAGAGACTCATAAGTGTTATAACATTTATATGTGAACGAGGTTTAGCATTACGCGGTAAAAATGAAATTGTCGGTTCGTCTAAAAATAGTAACTATCTTGAAATTATAGAGCTATAAGCTGAGTATGATAATTTTCTTAAACAACATATTGAAAATCATGCAAATCGTGGAAGTGGGCACACTAACTATTTATATTTTACTATCTGTGAAGAATTATTAGAAATAATGGGAAATGTTTTGAATGAAATAATTTCTCGTATAAAGTTATCTAAATTTTTTTAAACTTCATGAGATTCAACACCTGATGAGGGTCATATAGATCAATTAACATTAGTTTTTAGATATATTGAAAAAGATACACCAGTGGAAAGATTTTTGGTATTTATTAAGGCCATAAAGCTCAAGATATGTTTGATGGTTTTAAATAAATATGACTTAACATTAAAAATTGTAGATGCCAGTCGAATGATAATGCTTCTGCAATGAGTAGGAAATATAATGGTCTCCAATCAAAAATTCTGAAAAATAATAAACTAGCTTCCTGGATTCCATGTGCTACACATTCCCTAAATTTGGTAGGAAAAGCAGCAGCCGAGTGCTGTACTGCTGCTGTTGAATTTTTTGACTTTTTAGAGCAGTTATATGTATTTTTTACGGCATCAACAAAACGTTATGAACTACTGGTTAAAGCTCTAAGTTTAGAAAATACCAAAACCCGTATCCTTGTACCACAACGAGTTAATACTACAAGCTGGTCATGCAGATCTGATGCAACAAAAGCTCTTATACTAGGCTATAAACAATTTAAAAGTACTCTAATTCAAATAGCTGATGACTTTGAACAAACAACAAAAACGCGTTGCGATGCAAATTGTTTATACAACAAATTGTGCACACTTGAAACTGGAATTTACACGGTTTTTTGAAATAATATCCTTGAAAGAGTAGATAAAACTAATAAATTACTGGAAGATGCGACATTAGACCTTAATACTGCAATATCTGCTGTTATGTCTTTAAAGAATTTTGTTCAAGCTAAACGTGATAACTTTGATCAATATGAAAAACAAGGAGCAGAAATTTCGGAAACAACAGATTATTTGAAACACCGTAAACGGCAAACAAATATCCTTTTAAATCCAACATATTTTTAGAATAGAAACACCCGAGTTAGATTTAACTTCTTCTCAAAAATTCAAAAATTCTAAAGTAATTGATACGTTTATTTCTAACTTGGATAGACGATTGTGTGCTTATGAATTGGTGTACCAACGATTTGGCTTTCTTCGAAAAATAGAACAACTAAGTAACCAAGAAATTGAAAATGAAGCAATTAAACTTGTTAAAATTTACACTTAGGAAACGAACTTATTCAATTTAAAGAATTTTATAAACATTTTAAAGATGAAAGCAGTGAATTTCACGATATTAGTCAAGAACATTTTATGTATAAAATATTAATTAATAAGCAAGTAAAAGATTGTTTTCCTAATGTTGAAATATTTCTTCGTATTTGTCTTGTTATTATGATTACAAACAGCAGTAGTGAAAGATCATTCTCTAATTTAAAGTACATAAAAAATAGATTGCGTACTTCTATGGACGGAGACAGGCTTAATCAACTAGCGATAATGAGCTCTGAGTCTGATATTTTAAGAAAACTTGATTTTCCAAACGTAATTGATAAGTTTGTACAAATAAAATTAAGAAAAGTTCCCGGCATTTAATTTTAATTACTTGACATTATTATTTTTATTATTTTTATTTATTATTTTTCATTTAATTACTTACACTGAATATTATGATAATATTACTTAATATACTAGTTATACTCGATTTGATTGTTTTTATAATTATTTATTATTAAATAGTAGTTAATTGTTACTAGTGTTACTACTACTAAACATAATAATAAATATTATTCAATAAGTAAAAAAATATATTTCCTTATTTATTTATAAGGGGCCCCCACAGTATATTCCGCCCAGGGGCCACCACATACCTAAATCCGCTCCTGCTTATATTTATCACTTTTTTTTCTTAATTTTTATTCTTATTGTTATCACTATTTATTTAAAGTAAATTTTATAGGTGTTTACTTCAGATTAGTATCATTACTATT